GTGCCGCGGCACAGTGGTTGAAAAACACTGGTCTATAGTGCTAAATATTATCTTACGCTGATCTCTCAAAGTGAAATAAAAATACATCTAGACCAGTGACGGTGAGCCTTTTTCTTATGGCGTGTCAAAATTGCCCACTCAAACTCCCCACTCAATTGTGCATGCGCCCCCCCCCCTCCAGCGCATGTGCAAGAGACCCCTTCCCAGCCTCCGGAGGCTTTCCTGAGGCCTGGGAGAGCGAAAACAGCCTCCTCTGGCCTTCTGGAAATGTGAAAATCATATGTGCTCCAGAGGTTCTTCATCACAGATCTAGACACATACACCTCCTTACTGGTAAAACACATCCATGCCATTTGGAGCCCCAGTGTCCGATTTTCATGCAGAAGACACCAGACCAACTCCCAGAGTTAACCAGGCTTTGCAAACCAAGGCATACCTCATCAATTTCACACTGTATTACCGACTCAACCGAAGGATGCTTCACTACTTCTCTTAAGACTCCTCCATCGCCACCACCGATAATCAGAATCTGGATAAAAAGGAGAAGGTGCAGCCTCAAGCGCCAAGCCAAATTTCCATCAAAGCCTTAAGTGGATTTAGAGGCCACCCAAATCCCCAAGGGAGCTTACAGTGTTAAAAGCAGAAAAAAGGGCACATACTGGGGGCCTCTACTAGGAGACAAATACTTAAGATGTAATTCTACAGGGATTGGCACCCCCAGTCCCTCAAGGCTTGGGGGAGCAGCTAGCGTTTCAGCAACTTTTTAAACATCACTTTTTAAACATCACACACACCGAGAACCCAATGGATCTCGGTGTGTATGTGTGTTAATATCACAGAGTGGGCATTGCAACAGAGATTTCTCTCCATGAGGACTAGACGTCTATGGAGATTCTCAGTCACCCACCTCATGGTTGTCCCAAAGGCGCTTTTTTCAAGAGGCAACTTGGACTTTCACTTTTTTTTTTTCTTTGAAGACGTTTATATAGAAGCTTCTTGGATGAGAAGCGAAACGTCTTCAAAGAAAAAACAGAAAAGCACCTTTGGGCCATGAGGACCAGATGCGTGAAAAAACAATCAACGAGGATCGCGATTTATCATCACTTGCTGCTTGTATGTACACCGAGCGCTTCTGCACCGGAGGCAAACTCCTTGTGTGTCCAATCACACTCCTCGAGACAAACTCATTGTGTGTCAATAAGGAATTCTATAATCTACTGTATTTTTCAGAGTATAAGACGCATCTTCCCCCCCCCCCCCCAAACAGAGGGTGAAAATCTGGGTGCGTCTTAAACACTGAATACAGCATTTTTGGCCTCCTAAAACCCCGCCCCCTTTGCAAAAATGGACATGCAGAGGGTTTGGGAAGCTTGCAAAGTGCTCTTGGGGGTTGGGGAGGGTAAAAATGAACAAAATGAGCCATTTTTACTCATTTTTGCCCCCCGCCCATCCCCAGGAGCACACTACAAGCCTCCCAAAGCCTCTGCATGCCCTCCCTTTTTTTTTGCAAAAAAAAAGAGGGGGGGCATTTTTTGCTTATTTTTGGCCCTCACAGCCCCCAGGAGCACTCTACAAGCCTCCCAAAGCTATATATGCCCCCCCCCGCCTTTTTGCAAAAAAATGAGGCGTGTAGAGGGTTTGGGAGGCCTGCAGAGTGCAATTTTTTTTTAAAAAAAACTACCTCTTCAAAATCATGGTGCGTCTTATACTCCGGTGCGTCTTATAGTCGAAAAAATATGGTATTCTATTAAGGATCATTGGCCAACATTTCAATGCTTTAAGTGTTTTTTCTGGTGAGACTGGTCTATCAGGGCAATCTGGTCTACCCAAATAGGGGATGGAGCCTACTGCTTCCACCTTACCTTTAAATTTAACATTGGAATGCTTTGTCTACTACCCGCAACGGGGCAGCTGTGACCAGACAAGGAGTCTCCACTTGGAAAAGGCTGCGCCAGGGCAGAGCAACACCAAGAGAAGAGGCTGAGCTCCGTGGACACCTGCTTTGTCTGTAAAACCTGGCCTGACACCCTGTGGAGCCGTCCCCATCCCAGGTAGCCAACCACAAGCCAAGCGGGCTCTGGAGAACGCTCACCTTCCGGGGGTTTGGATGGCTGCAGAGCGGGAGGTTGGCGATCATTTCCTGGTAGGAAAACTCATCTCTCTCGGTGCACTGGATAACTCCGTCAAGAACCAGGACGTTCCCGTAGGTTTTGCTGTAAAGGAGAAAGGGTTGAAGGATCCCGCTGAGTTTTGAACCAAGATTCAAAAGGAAGCCTCCCCTCTCCAGAAAGAGGGGAGAAAACCTTTGCCAGACCAATTCTCGAATACAGCCCATCTGCCTGGAATCTACACTGTACACCGGTCATTAATACAATTGAAAGAGTCCAGAGATATTTCACGAGAAGAGTCCTCCGCTCCTCTGCTCACAATAGAATCCCTTATGCCACCAGGCTCGAAATTTGGGTTTGGACCACCTGGAACTACGCCGCCTTTAGTACACAAAATTGTCTGCTACAATGTCCTACCTGTCAACAACTACTTCAGCTTCAACCGCAACAATACACGGGCAAACAATCGATACAAACTCAAACCGCTCCAAACTCGATTGCAGAAAATACAACTTCAGCAACAGAGGGGTCAACGCCTGGAATGCTCTACCCGACTCTGTGGTTACTTCCTCTAACCCCCACAGCTTCAACTTTAAACTGTCCACCGTGGACCTCAACCCCACTCCTAAGAGGTCCGTAAAGGGGGTGGGCATAAGCCCATCAGCCTGCCTACTGTCCCCGTCCTATTGTCCCCATTCTCCTCTGCCCATTCCCCCCAAAACCACTTTCCGTACTTCCTTTCCATCCCCCCCCCCCTTCAGCTGATGCTTATGCCCAGCTGCCTACTCCTGGGTGAGGAAGCCAGCCAGTAAACAGTAAAAACAGAGTTGGAAGGGACCTTGAAGGTCATCTAGTCCAACCCTCTGCTCACGCAGGAGACCCGTTCTAGGAATTCAAACCACTGACCTTCTGAGCGGCGTTGCGTGCAGTGACCCTCTCCTTGGCAGGCAGCCGTCCCCTTCCCCCTCAGGGAGCCAAGTCCGGTTGGGTGGCACCCGATCCAGTTGGCTCTCGTGCTACTAGTCAGTCCCTGGCATCACGAAAGACAACTGGGTGCCACCCAACTGGGCTTGGCTCCCTTGGCAGGGAGGGGGAGAAGCCTGACTGCCAAGTTGGGGGGGGGGGGCAAGGAGAATGCCACTGTGTGCAGCACCACTCGAAAGGTCGGTGGTTCGAATCCCTAGTACAGGGTCTCCTGTGTGAGGAGGGGATTGGACTAAATGACTTCCAATATCTGTTTTTACTGTTTGCTGATCCTCGTGAGCAGGGGGCTGGACTCGACTCCAAGGCCCCTTCCGACTCTGTTACTATTTACTGTGATCAAGCACATGGTAGCTCCTTGGGGGACCCACAGGTCTCCTGCATCAGCAGGGGGCTGGACTGGATGACCTCCAAGGTCCCTTCCGACTCTATTTTTCCTGTTCACTGAACCTCGCTTGTGGGATCGAGCGCCCGGCGGCTCCTTAGGGGACCCACAGGTCTCCTGTGTGATCAGGGGACTGGAGTGGATGACCTCCAAGACCCCTTCCTATTCACTCTGATTACCGCTTGTGGGATCGAGCTCCCGGCGGCGGGTTCCTTGGGGGGACCCATGAGCAGGAGCCTGGACTGGATGACCTCCAAGGCGCCTTCCGATTCTGTTACGGTTTACCGTTTGTGAGATCGAGCGCACGGCGGCTCCTTGGGAGGACCCACAGGTCTCCTGCGTGAGCCTTGGGGGCTGGACTGGATGACCTCCAAGGTCCCTTCCTATTCACTCTGATTGCCGTTTGTGGGATGGAGCGCGCGGCGACTCCTTTGCGGAGCTCCCACTCTGCAGATCTCCACGGGGGGCAGGAGTGGGGGAAAAAGCCGAGGCGGCAGGAGGACCGAGGCTGCAGCTGGGCACCGCCTTTGCCGCGATCGCGGGTTGCGACCCCCGGAGCCCCTTCCCGAGCGCGCTCACCTGCGGAAGACCAGGATCTCCTGGAAGGGCGAGCGCTGGTGGTGCAGCACCTCCTCCACTTGCAGGGAGAGCGCCTGCCCGGGCCACAGGCTGCAGGTCTCGCGGAACCAGCCCTCCTGCGAGACGGATCCTCCGGCTGCAGCAGCCGCCTCCATGCCCGCCCAGCCCGGCCTCGGCTCGCTGCAAAGGGCCGATGGGGAAGGGAGGGGGGGAGGAGGAGGAGGAGGAGCGGCTTCCCTCCCACCCTCCCTGGGCCACCTGCCACCTGTCCGCGCCGCAGCCCAACCCGGTTTCTTCTTCTCAGGAGGCGTGGCCTCGGCCCTTCCCCAAACGGCGGGCCCAATGGGAAGCCGCGACAGTTCGGGAAACGGGCTCCTCATTGGCCGAGACCCGCCAAGAGCGGCGGGAGCGAAAGCGAGTGAAGCCAGCAAGGTAGGTTGCGCGTTCCAGGCCTGGCCACGTGGGGCGCTGGAGCGGCGGACCCGGATTGGCTGGGGAGAAGGCGGACGCGGAAGCGAGGGGCCGGCCCTCCACGTGGCTGGCTCGCAGCTGGGCTGATCCCCTCTCCCCCCTCCCCAGGAAGCGCCCTGCTTTGCTTTGCCCGGGGGAGTCCCAAAGGGGTCCCCCCCCCCGCCCCAAGAGACAATTAGGTGGCTCAGTGGCTAAGGCACTGAGCTTGTGGATCAAAAGCTCGGCAGTTCCCTAGTCCTGGTCTCCTGCGTGAGCAAGGGGGTTGGACTAGATGACCTCTAACGTACCTTCCAACTCTGTTACTGTTTACTGGACTTTCTGTTTTTTCTTTGAAGACGTTTCGCTTCTCATGCAAGAAGCTTCTTCAGCTCAATTTCCCACCATCCAGTCAAGAGTTGAATATATTTTACATTCCTATTCTTCCTATTCCTATCTCCATTCCTATTCTATCTGGACTTTCTGGTTTTCTTTTCTTTGAAGACGTTTTGCTTCTCACCCAAGAAGCTTCTTCAGCTCAATTTCCCACCATCCAGTCAGAGCTGAATGTGTTTTACATTCCTATTCTATTCCTATTCCTATGCTATCTGGACTTTGTTTTTTTTCCCCCTTTGAAGGCATTTCGCTTCTCATCCAAGAAGCTTCTTCAACTCAATTCCCAACCATCTAGTCAGAGCTGAAGAAGCTTCTTGGATGAGAAGCAAAATGTCTTTGAAGAAAAAAAAAAGCAGATAGTCCAGATAGAATAGGAATGGGAATGGAGATAGGGATAGGAACAGAACAGAATAGAATCTTTTATTGGCCAAGTGTGATTGGACACACAAGGGATTTGTCTTTGATGCATAGACTCTCAGTGTACATAAAAAGACAAGATACATTCGTCAAGAATCATAAGGTACAAGACTTTAGTGATAGTCATAGGGTACAAATAAGCAGTCAAATTGTACTAGGAAACAAAACCAATATAAATTGAAAGATACAAGCAACATGGTTATAAGTGGGAAGAGATAGATACTAGGAAGGAAGAGAACAATAATAGTAATACAGTCTTTGTAAATTATTTGACAGTTGTGGGAATTAGTTGTTAAGCAGAGTGATGGCATTTGGGGAAAAACTGTCCTTGCGTCTAATTGTTCTGGTGTGCAGAGCCCTATAGTGTCATTTTGAGGGTAGGAGTTGAAACAATTTACGTCCAGGATGCGAGGGGTCTGGAGATATTTTCACAGCCCACTTTTTGACTCCTGCAGTGTCCAGGTCCTCAATGGAAGGCAGGTTGGCAGCCATTGTTTTTTCTGCAGTTCTGATTATCCGTTGAAGTCTGTGTATGTCTTGTTGGGTTGCAGAGCCAAATCAGACAGTTACGGAGGTGCAGATGACAGACTCCATCATTCCTCTGTAGAACAGAATCAGCAGCTCTTTGGGCAGTTTGAGCTTCCTGAGTTGGCGCAGAAAGAACATTCTTTGTTGTGCTTTTTTGATGACGCTTTTGATGTTCGGTTGATGTTCGGTTGTCCCAAATTTGCCTCTTGGAAAAAGCATCTTTGGGACAACCATGACCGGAGGACTGAGACTCTCCAGAGACACTTTGCTCAGGGAGGTTATCTTTCAGCCGTCCCGAGTTGAAACCTCCCGGAGAATCACCCTCTGTAGCAGGAGAGTCGTCTTAAGAGTGAGACGGTGTACATTCAACCACTTGGATTACAGCACCCATCAGTCTCAGCCAAAAGCCTAACCCTCCGCAGCTTTTCTTGAGGTCTGGGGCCCGCAGTGTGGTTTCAAACCCTGTTTTCTATGCAGGTAGTCCTCGACTTACAACAGCTTGCTTAGTGACGGTTCAAAGTTACAACTACTGAAAAAATTGGCTTGTGACTGGCGACTGGGTCATATTGGTGACTGTTGCTGCATTTTATGTCATTTTATTCTATTTTACACATTTATGAGTTAAATTCTATTGTATCTTACCCTATCACCATTGTATTTTACCTTATCCTTATTTTAAATTGTTTGTGTAAGATTTTATGGGTGATATGTGTTTGAACTCTGTGCTTTGATACGGCCTATAGACTAATCAATATAGCTTATTATTATTCTCTTAATGGGTTTATATGTTTAATTTTCCTTTCCCCCCTCACTGTTAGGGAAACTGACTTGAATGTTAATTTAAATAAAGCTAATTTAAACTAAAATAACCATGCCATGCATAAAGGAGCAAGAGAAGAGAAGCAAAACAAATGAACCATCACTTAATTTAAACTTGCCTTCCTTTCTTTTTCAGGGGAAAGAAAAGCACTTTAATTGTTTAAAAAAACAACACCGAAAACACGTTATCCGTACAAAAAGTGGCAGGAGTTTCTTGATTTTCGCGTCTTCCAAGAACTTTCTTGATCTGTGTTATCTTTTTGGCCAATTGTGCCGAAAACCCCTGTGTGAGGATGATAGAAAGGTAAGAAGAGATCTCAACTGATTAGCAATAGCAATAGCAATAGCACTTAGACTTACATACTGCTTCATAGTACTTTTACAGTCCTCTCTAAGCGGTTTACAGAGTCAGCCTCTTGTCCCCCAACAATCTGGGTCCTTATTTGACCCACCTCGGAAGGATGGAAGGCTGAGTCAACCTTGAGCCGGTCAGGATTGAACTGCTGGCAGTGGACAGAGTTAGCCTGCAATACTGCATTCTAACCATGGTGCCACCACAGCATCTGTCTATTCATCCATCCATCTCTCTCTCTATTGCAATAGCACTTAGACTTATATACCGCTTCACAGTGCTTTACAGCAGTCTCTAAGTGGTCGGTGACCTCTTGCCTCCGACAATCTGGGTCCTCATTTGACCCACCTCAGAAAGATGGAAGGCTGGGTCAACCTTGAGCCTGGTGAGATTCGAACTGCAGCTAGCAGTTAGCTGAAGTAGCCTGCCGTACTGCACTCTAACCACTACGCCACCTCAGCTCTTAGGTTTAAAGGAGGAACAATTTGAGAATCAGGAATTGCCCAACATTTCCAATTTCACCACAGGGGTGGCAAATGGGCCACCAAATAGTGGCAAGACATATTATGGACCCTTGTGAGTCTTATCTGCAAAGTACATTTAGTCAAAATTACAATGGCACTGAAAAATGCAATGACCGTTTTTCATATTTACAATGGTTGCAGCATTCCCCCATGTCACATGATCAAAATTCAGATGGCAACTGGCATGTATTTATGACGGTTGCAGGGTCCCAGGGTCGTATGATCAAACGAGAGTCAATGGGGAAACCAGTTTCATTTAAGAGCCGTGTTGCTAACTCAACTGCAATGATCCACTTAATAACTGTGGCAAGAAAGGTTGTAAGATAAGGTAAAGGTTCCCCTTGCACATATGTGCTAGTCTTGTTCCCGACACTAGGGGGTGGTGCTCATCTCCGTTTCAAAGCTGAAGAGCCAGCGCTCTCTGAAGACGTCTCCGTGGTCATGTGGCTGGCATGACTCAACACCGAAGGCGCATGAAACGCTGTTCCCTTCCCACCAAAGGTGGCTCCTATTTTTCTACTTGCATTTTTTTACGTGCTTTCGAACTGCTAGGTTGGCAGAAGCTGGGACAAAGTCACGGGAGCTCACTAGGGATTCAAACTGCCAACCTTTCTGATCGACAAGCTCAGCGTCTTAGCCACTGAGCCACCGCACTCTAAGAACGGTTGTAAAATGGGGCAAATCTCACTTAACAAATGTCTCACTTAGCAGCAGAAATTTTGGGCTCTATGGTGACTGTACATTGAGGACTATCTGTAGTTCCAATATTCCAGCTGTTTTAGATAGATAGGTAGATAGATAAGATAGTGTCTATGTTATAACTCTACCTACCTGTTGGATTTTCCAGCTGTGAAAGACATGCTTTTTGTTCCTGCTGGCTGTTGTGATTTGCTGGCTCCTGAAAATTTCTGGAGGTTGTTGTTTTTTTTTGGGGGGGGGGGAGGGCAGGGAATGGGGGGAGAAAAGAGAACAGGGGGGAAAAAGGACAAATGGTCTGGTTGAAAGTTTTGGCAATTCTATTTCTCCTTCCATAACAACAATTATTAGAAACCCATCTCCTGCTTACAATACATTGTCTGGCCAAGCACACACACACACACACACACACACACACACACCACCCTCAGAACCACCCATTACAACACCCCTTTAGGTTTCCCCACATCTGAAAGAGCCACAAGAGAACACAATGCACAACACACAGCAAGCCTGATTGTTGTGATCCATAGGCTGGGCTGAGAAGGGCTCTGAAAAGCTGCCCAGAGTCATTGGATACCACATGGATGGCAAATAAAATCCATCCATCCATTCATTCTTTGTGCCAACTTTCTCCTCTGAAGCACCAAATGAGTCGAGGAAACGAGCCAGTTGGGTCTAGAGGTTAAGGCACCAGGCCAAACACCAGGAGGTGATGAGTTCTAGTCCTGCCTTAAGCATGAAAACCAGCATGGATGATCTTGGGCCGTTCCCTTTCTTTCACCCCCATCCACTTCACAGGGATGTTGTTGTGGGGAAAACAGGAGGAGGCAGGAAGATTAATGTACATTCACTGCCCTGGGTTATTTATAAAAATAATAAAAGGTGGAACAATAAAAAGTTAAGGTAATAATGATTTAATAGGTGACCAGCTGCTGTGAAGGCTGTAAACCGAGATGATGGAATGAGTCGGCAGGGCTACTGCCACTTTAAGAAGCTGTCCATATAAGGGAGGCCCTGTGAGGGCATCTCTCTCTCTCCCCCTCCATAGTATTATAGTTGAAGATTGATTGATTGCCTGGTCTTGCCGTCTGTGTGTGTGTGTAGATAGATAGATAGATAGATGATAGATGAGAGAGAGAGAGAGAGAGAGAGAGAGAGAGAAAGAGAAAGAGAGAAAGAGAGAAAGAGAAAGAGAGAGAGATGTCTTGTAGATAAACCACTTTTCAGGTCTGCAGCCATCTTTCCTTTTGGATCTTTGGCCTGTCAACACTTTCTATCATTCTACTATGCATTTTCTGTTGTGGGAAAATGGGAGGGGGGGGATTATACGGCGTTAGGTGATAAGTGACCATAACAACATTCTTTCTAGAAAATCAAGGTCATTCTTTGTCTCTGCACCTCTGCACCTGAGCGGAATTGGCTGGGTGGAACTGCCAGCGTGGCAGTGGAAGATCGGATCATATGATGGACCTGTGGGTGTGGGGGCAAGATCTTGAACTTTCAACTGGGTGGGAAAAAAACGGGAAGCTTTCAGATTTGGGTTTTCCCGGATGTGCCAACATGTCTCTCTTAATAAATTGGAACTTTGAGGAATCCTTTGCCTCGGACTCTGATTTACTTTTGGATGCTATTTGGAATGCTGACACCACTGTTTTGAAAGACAAAACCTCTGCGTACTATACTTTGCTCCTGGATTGTCTCAAACTAGCAGTCACCCTCTGCACACTCTGACAATAAATACATACCTTGTTGCCAGCGGCCTGGATGGCGGGATTAAATTGCCGTGGTGGCTTGGATTTGCTGCTCCCTGAAAGGAAAGGAAAAACCGAAAGGGACACTTTTAAGAAGGAATGTTGGTGCAAAAGGTCTCAAGTCCAAAAAGTAACAGAAGACAAGAAAAAACACCAGAGCTGCTTGATGGTTCAGCAACAAAGGGCACACCCAGCCATTGGGCGGTAGCTGAAGAAGCAGAGGAAGGCCGGCTTTCTTACCGGCAAAGACTCGGAAATCGGATTTGCTGTAGTCGAAGGGCGTGAAGCAGCTGGCGGCAGGGTCTGCTTCGGGCTGGGGAGCTTCAGGTTTGGCCTTTTTCCTCTTGAGAGTCTCCGTCGCAGGATTCTGGTCTTCTGCCTCCCGCTTTGGGGTGGCGTGTTCTTGCTGGAAACACAACCAAGGAAAGACAAAAGGTCGCTGCATGGTTTCTCAAGGAGGCAGGACAAATTCTCCTCCCCCATTGGCAAAGCAGAAGCCGGAACTTGACTTCGGCTATTTCGACTGAAACATAGGAGATCCATGCTGGGGAAGAGTCTTCCCAGAAAGGATCAACAGGTTTCGCATCCTTTCCACACTCTAGGCCAACCTTTCGGACCTCAGGGACCACTAAATTCGTAATTTTAAATCCCGCGGACCACTAATACGGTTTGCCTAATGACCGGCTGGGTGCTCATGTGATTGGGTGGGCGTGACCAATTTGATGTAACTCACGTCAAGGGGTGCCTCGCCGTCCTCTACTCACCCCTCCCCTCCCAGCCTTCCCCCCCCCCCCCCCCCCCCCCCGGCCTCCCCCCCCCCCCCAGGCTCCTCGGGGCCCCAAAAGGAAGCAGTTGCTGGAGCTAAG